GTGGTTCGCATTCGGTCACATGGTCTCTGGGAGCCAAGAAGTTTTTCTTCTTCGTCATCCTCATTATCACTAGTTTAACAAAATTAAATAGTTTTTTTCCCTTAAAAATGATATTTTCGCCAGGGCTGTTTGGCAAGAAAATGATATTAAAGACATCCAATTTGAAAAGGAAGAAATAAAACTTTTTTTTTGAAGATGACATGACTTCATATGTAGAAAATTGTAAAGAATGTACCAAAAATTATCAGAACTAATGAACAAGTTCATCAAGGTTACTGGGTAAAAGGTCAGCACATAAAAATCTGTTTTATTTCTGTGTACTTACAATGAGCCATCTGAGAATGAATTTAAGTAATAAACACTTTCACTTATAATAAAAAGTTAAGTGAATAATTTTATTATAAAAACAATGTTTTTTGGAATAAATCTAAAAGCAGTATAAAACTTATGTTTTGAAAAATACAAAATGTTGGAATTATAGAAGACCTAAATAAATGGAAATATGTTACATATTTGTGGGTTGGAAGACATATTAAAATACCAGCTGACTTCTTTGCAGAAATTGAACAGTTGATCCTAAAATGTACATCAAAATTAAAAGAAACAGAATAGCCAAAATAATCTTGAAAAAGAATAATAAAGTTAACATGGTGTGGTTCAGGCACATATACATAGATACGTATAACAAACTGGAATTGAAAGTCCAAAAATAAACTAATATTTGTGTTCAACAGATTTTCAAAAATGATAGTGAGATAATTCAATGGGGGGAGAATAATCTTTTCAACAAATGGTCCTGGGTCAACTGGATATCCACATGCAAAGAAAGAAATTGTTTCTCCATTTCACACTATATACAAAAATTAATTCAAAATGGATTGGGACTAAATGTAAGCGCTTAAAATCATAACTCTTACCAAAAAAAAAAAAAAAAGAAGCAGCAGCAAATCCTTATGACCTTGGATTAGGCCAGCAGTTTTCAACCTTTGTCATCTCATGGCACACGTAAATGAATTACTAAAATTCTGCAGCACAGCAAAAAATACCTCATTTTTTGCTGATCTCACACACAGAAAAATAGGTATAATTTTGATTCATTCACACCAAACAGCTATTGTTTTAAATTTGACGAAAAGAAGTTGGTACCCCTGACTTAAAGAGTCAGGAATCACATGTTTTGGAAATTCTTATGGGGCCCTGGCCAGACGGCTCAGTTAGTTAGAATGTGGTCCCAGCTGTGGGTTCAGTCCCCGGTCAGGGCACATGCAAGAATCAACCAGTGCGTGCATCAGTGAGGGGGACAACAAATCACTCTCTCTCTCTCCTTTCCTTCCTGTCACTCCCTAAAAATTAATAAATTTTAAAACATTATTGTGGCACACCCATTGAAAATGCTGGATTAGGTATTGGTTTCTTAGATATGGCAACAACACAAGAAAGAAATTAGACTTTGTCAAAGTGAAAAACTTTTATACTTCCAAGTATACCATGAACAAAGTAAAAACACACCCCAGAAAATGGGAGAGGGCATTTACCGACAGTGTGTCTGGTAAGGATCTAGTGTCCAGAACATTTAAATAACTCAGTGAAAAGCCAACCCAGTTTAATTACAACTCAGTGAAAAGCCAACCCAGTTTAAAAAAACGGGGAAATGATTTGAATAGACATTCCTCACAAAAGATAAATAAATGGGTAATAAGCAAATGAAAAGAAATTCACACCATTAGCTGTCAGAGAAATGCAAACCAAAACCACAAGCTATGAGTTTACACTAGGGTGGCTGTAATCAAAAAGACAGGTGACAGCTCTTGCTGGTTTGGCTCAGTGGATTGAGCGCCGGCTTATGAACCAAAGGGTCGCTGGTTCAATTCCCAGTCAGGACACATGCCTGGGTTGCTAGCCAGGCCAGGGAACCCCCGCTACCCCCCAGAAGGGGGTGTGCGAGAGGCAACCACACATTGATGTTTCTCTCCCTCTCTTTCGCCTCCCCTTCCCCTCTCTCTAAAAACAAATAAACAAAATATTTTTTAAAAAAAGACAGATAATAACTAGTGTTGATGAGGCTGTGAAGAAATCGGAGCTTTTGTCACGCTGCTGGAAGGGATGTAAAACGGTGCGTGCACCGCGGTGGGAAACAGACTGGCAGTTCTTCAGCAGGTTCCTCATGGGGTTATCATATGACCCAGCATCCCCACTCCTAGGAGACGTGAAAACACACACAGCCTTGCACACAGGTGTTTGGAACATGGTTTGCCATAGTTGAAAAGTGTAAGTAACCCAAGTACCTGCCAGCTGCTGAATGGTAAATCAAAGTGACAGAGTCACACAGTAGGATACTACTTGGCCACTAAAAGGACCGGAGTGTTGATGTGTGTGCCGCAACGCAGATGAGCCCCGAAAACAGTGTGGCAGGTGAAGAAGACCAGTCACACGCCATGGGCTCCCACAGACACGGACAGTGGGCTGGCGCTGCCGAGGACTCGGGAGGTTGGGGGAGGAGGAGTGACAGAAGGTAGGTCTGGGGTTTCTTGGTGCGGAGAACGCTCTAAAGTGGGTACGATGGCTGAACAACGGTGACTATGCTAAAAAAAAACATTGATTTGTGTATTTTAAAAGGCTGAACTGTATGGTGTGGGAATTATAGCTCAAAAAAGCTGCTGTTGAACGGTATTTTACAAATAACCTAAATTTAGATTTGTGGGGTTTTTTTTAGTTTTCACTTTTACCAAAAAATACTCTGTGTGAGATGACTGACAGCAGTGTTCTTTATAGAGTGGGGCAATGTGTGATTCCCGGGGTGGGTTCCCAGAGTGAACGGGCGTGAAAGAAGTTTCGTCGTAACTGCTGCGCGTGCCCTTCTGTTCTGCACAGCCCTCCGCTGCCCCGCACTGGGCTCCCTCTCTCCCCACCGCCTCCGCTCCTGCCCTCGCGGCCGTGGAAACACGGGTGAGCACCGTCTGTACAATGCTCTAAATCCTGTTCGACGTTGGGTCTCCCAGAGCCGAGCTTGATTCCTGAGTTTCGTTCCAACCACGCATTTGTTTCCGCATTTCACGTTCTCTCGTCACATCACACTTTTGCCCAAGTATATGTAGCTTCATTGACATGACCGCGCTGCCATTTCTGCAGCCGTGTTCGTGAGACGCTCTGCGGCACGTGACTGGTTCTCACGGCTCTGTAATCATGCTGCGGCAGTAAATAATGAAGTTAAGAAAATAGACCGCTTCATGATTTTCTGGAAAGCCTAGAAGTTACCAAGTCTCCGTGAGAATAATGAATGAGTTAAATTCCCCGAAGAAGGAGGCATAAACCTTTAATCTCTAGATTCTTTTCCTCTGAAAGCACCTGTGGTGTACAGCGCATGCCCCGGGAATAAAAAGTTCAGGGGAAATCAAGCAGTTGTTGGTGGCTAGGGTTTTTCTCGAAGATTAAAACGTCATAGAGTCGACAGCCCATTTGTATCCAGTGCGCATCTCGGAAGAGCTTTGGCAGGGCTGCCTTCCGTTGTTTCACTTTGTGAAGTTCATTGGGGTCCGTCAGAAAAAGGGGGGACGGGGGAACTTCCTGCTGGCGCCCTTCTCCCAGGCGTCTCAGTGTGCTGGCGGTTTCCCTTCCATGGGCTGGTGCGTGGCCTTCGATCTCAGAGCGGCTTGTGTTCTGCTGTCTCAGCGGTCCGCCCGGGCAGGGGCCTGCGGCGCTGTGCGGGCCCAGCCGGGCCGGTTCTGCCGCTCGGCCCCGAGGACGTGTGTCGGGCGGGCCATGCGGGACGGCCACGAAAGGCTGTTGTGAGGACTTGGGGTGCGCTTTTTAAACTTGAGTAATAAGTAAACCGTAACAAGTAATTTGTTTTCAGTGTTTTAAGTTTCTGGTAGAATTACATAAGAATATAGCTGTAATACTGGGTGCCATAAAAAGTTTATAATGATTTGTTCATCAGTGTGTAGGCTAGGATACCATGGAAGAGCCGAATTGCTGCTTTTTTTTGGTCAGCAATACGTGAACTGTCTGGCCTGAAAATATGAATTTTTTACGTTGTCTTTTCTTTGACGTCTAGTGTTAGTGACACGAAATCCACAGCGTTTGCGTTCTGTGAGACGGTGTGGGTGTGGGCGCTGGCCGTGCCCCCGGTGAGCAGGTGGTGCAGACTCACGGTGCTGATGCAGTTCAGTGCTGTGGGTGCGCCTCCTCTTCCTCCGGCTTATTGATAATGCTTCCTTTCCTCTAGCTCAGTTTATTGTAAGAACACACTAGCCCAGGTCTGCCCGGAACATGTCTAGCCGCTGTTAGTATAATCAGGGGTTGGGAGGCCGGGGAGCTCCTCACCTCAAGCTCCAAGACCGAAGCTCGGTCTCCTGCCAGGACGCCCATGCACCACGCCGCAGAGGGGAGGCAGTCTCACCGGAACTCCAGCTTGGGCTCTCTGAGCCAGAGCTTGGTCACAGGGCCACACCCAGTAGCTGCTTGGGAAGCAGGCTTTCTCCCGGAGGCCCTGCTCAAAACGACATTCTTTTATATGGGGGATGGGGGGGGGGGTCCGCATTAGTAGCAGCCACTGGCGGTCTGGGCTGTGCCCTCCCTGGAAGCGGTGAGGATCTGCCCGCCTGCCCGAGCCCAGCCTGCCCGGGGCCAGCCAAGGCCGCAGGGAGCGCGGCTCAGGTGAAAGCCTCCGACAGTGCTGGCTGGAGGGGACGCAGAGCAGACTTGAGGCCGACTCAGGACAGACGCCAGAGCCGCGAACCTGACTGCTGTGAGGAAAGAACAGCGGTGCTGAGGGCCCGTTTCTTTCATTGCATGCAGTTCTGTGTTCTCCCTGGTGTTAATTCATTGCCTTCCAGCACATTCAGGTTGTCTTACTGTGAACGCTGCACGCCGTCCGAACCTGTGCTCAAGGAGGACATCTTAGCACTGGATTTTTGTCTTTCAAGTAAGTGTTTTTAAACCAGGGAACGGAAAGTACCGTGCACGTGACTTCTTTCATCGGCACTTCTCTGTCGTTGCAGTGGACGAAGGTCGCAGCACGGAGCCCGACCGCGTGCAGGTGTTCTACCGGAAAGCCATCCTGCCTTACGGCGTCTACAGGAAGCAGCGCAGAGACGCCGGCGAGGAGGCCGACGTGCTGCAGTACGCGAGCCTGGTGGGGCAGGCGTGCTCCGAGCGGATGCTGCTGTTCCGGAGCTGAGCCCGCCACCCCTGCCCGGCCGCACCCGCCCGCTGCCTGGTGGCCCCGCCCCCGCCCCGTGCGTCCGTCCCTGGGGGAAGCCCTGTGTCCACCCACAGATCGGACTTTCTTATTTTGACTATTACATGGCTTTTCTAAGCTGTTTGTGGCCATGTATTTGTGAGAATCTCATGGTTAATATATTTAAAAATATATATGACCTAGCCTCGGAATTGGGGTGCATCGCTTCAGAAGTTTGTTTTATGAACAAAGAATGGTAAACTGCTCTTACTGTTAATACCTGGAAAGTCAAATCAGTATGTAAATCTCAAATAACTCAGATTACAGTTGTGCTTTTTTTTGTTCTGTTAGAAACCAAAACAGACTGTTTCCTCAGATCCATTTAAAACATCGGTTTATGCTTTAAAAAAAAAAAAAAAAAACAACCCTTAAGTGTGGGGAAGAAAGTGGCCAAGCCTGTTTCATCGCTTGGACCGCCGTCACCCCGCGCGCAGAAGTGGGCCGCTGCGGAGTGTCAGGTGGTTGACACCCCCGAGAGCTCGGAAAAGCAGGGTCTGCCCCTGGAACAAGGCGGTGTCTGGCGCCGGCCGCCGCTCCCCCGGGACGGCCCTGCTCACGCCTGCCGTGCCGGCCTGGCTTTCTCCCGGGAGGACGACCGCTGGTGTTCCCGTGCTCTCACAGCACCCGATTGGGACAGTACAGTACATGTTTGCCCAAGTTGTTATACGTTACAGAATTTGCCCTATTTTAAAAAATTCAAGAAAGGGAGGTTTATAAAGAAAAATGCTGGCCCCTGGGCCTCTTTTCTTGAACTCAGGACACTTGTCTTTGGTGATTAAGAATTGGTTAATGATCCGACTGCGTGCAGTTAGACCTGTGCTACAAGTCACAGTTAGGGGGGAGTCCTCCTGGCCTCTGCTCCGGGGGTGGGGTGGAGCTCGACGCCTGTGGGTGTGGAGGAGGTGCGACGCTGGTTGTCTGAAGCGGAAGCTGCCCGCCTTCTCCTCGTACCTCCTTCTGTTCAGCTCTGCGCCCCTCGAGCAGATGCCCCTTGTCCGCCACTGTCCGGGCGGCAGGCACCGTGCCAGGAGGAAGTCCTGGTGGGCTGCTTGGAGGCAGTGCGGAGAGAGCGTTCCTTCCCTGGGCGCTTTCTCAGCGGGTCCCCACCCACCGTGCCCTGGCTGGCTGCTCAGCCGGTTCACCCATTTCGCCCACTTGTCTGTTGTCTGGGTGGATCTCTTTGGAGCCGATCATAAAGCCTAATGGTTTGAATCTCCCTGCTGATTTAAAACTGTCCTTCTAAATGCACTGAATGAAACATAAAATAATTGCAGGCAGCTGGAAGGAAAGGAAGGCTCATAAAACCATGATTTTAAAAGTCAAGTGTCTGGAAGTCCAGCATCCAAATACACCATTCGTTCAGACCTGCCACGTGCACCTACTTGGCCGACTGGGGATGGAGCCATGAGCAAAGCCGTTTTCTCTGATAGTGTGGATTTTACTACTTCTGGAATTTTCTTTTTCAAAGTAGTCTCCCAGGAGCATTCAGTTGACTCTTATTTGGAGTTGCCTTTAGAATCTGTGGAAAAGTTTTTCTTTTTCCCTCTAAAATGAACATAGCTTACATTTTTTATTACAAAAATGGTACTTTAGGCAATTACAATATTAAGAAAATATAAGTAAGAAAGTAAAAATAATCGGAAATCCTGCCGTACAGAGAGAGAATTGTATACACACACACACACTATATACACACACACACACTATATATATATACACACACACACACATATATATATATATAATTTTAATATAGAGAGAATCACTATAGAGAGAAAACACTGCTGTGTTGTTTTTCAACAGTAAGTTACAGACACCTGAACTTGGGAAGCAGTGTGAGCTAGCATTTCAGGAGTGTTGTGAGCGACCTGAACGAACAGCATCACAGTGAGACAGGGTCCGGCCGTGGGGTCCGCGGCGTGGGGGTGGGCCGGGCTGGCGTGGCAGCTGCTTGCATCTGAGCGGGCAGTGTGTGGAGTGGCGTTCAGAGATCACAGCTCTCGAATGGCCAGTGAAGAGACAGCTAGCGTCTTAAGCAGTGCTCGTTCCTTCCTGCAGAATGCCCCCTGGGGTTCCTTCAGGGGAGAAGGACTGGTCACCCTTGTCTGGGGACCGTGGTGCTGTCCCTGCAGGTGGCATTTGGTCGGTTCCTGTGATGCTCCAGGGAGGGTGGGACACGGTGATTCTTCTGCTTGGGTGGTTGCTATATTCACGTGTTGGGTTTTTGTTTATTTTATTTTATTTCTTGAGAACAGATATTGTATTGATCCTAATAAGCAACACTTCTTGAAAGGACTCGAGTTCTTCTCAGTTCTAGCTGAGTGTTGATAGTGGGCCAAAGGGGGACAATTGGGGGGAGCGAGCTGGTTTGGGCAGCTGACAGGCATCTGGCCGTGGGTTAACAGCTGTCACCTGAAGACGGACTCGAGACCCTTTCGAGGACAGCTGACAGCTTTGCAGAGCCGGAAGCTTGCGTTCATAATCTTAGCGCTGTAGGCCCTTCCTGATTTCAGATAAACCCAGGCCTACGCTCCTGTCTCGGGGCAGAAATGTAATAGGGATTCCTCATGCTACCATCTTTATTGAAATTATTTCAGTTCCGTTGAGAGATTTTTATTCTCTTATTTTTAAAAAGTGTGCTCTGAGCACTTTCTATTTTCTAAAAAGTAGAAGCTATTATCAGATAAATACATTACTCATTTGGTTAAAATTACGTTTGCTTGCAAACAGCTTATCTTACTTTCTGTCCATTTTGCAAAATATCAGTTGTGTGTGGTTGCTTCACATATTGGCATCTTTTGTGTAAACGAACCTTTTCAGAATTCTGAGCAATGTACAGTTTGATTTTATGGGCTTTATATGCAGTGTGAATAAAGGTGAAAAAGGACATGATGACCATTTGCCTGAAATGAATCTCTTGGTTGCTGACTTCAAAGCAAAAGAGGGAACTAAATGGATGTAACTGGGAGATGTTTAAATTGGAAGTTGTTCAGACGTGTTCTTTTTCAAGAGAAGACCAGTAAGTGTAAGTCCAAACAGGTTTATCATTGCATGCTCTATTTTTTGCTCTCATAGGTGCTTTTTTTTTTTGAACAGTCCAGTCAGTAATGCTTAAATGGAAAAAAAATAAAGCTGTTTCTATCCACAGTGGCTCTTGCTGGTCAGTATGTAAAGGACGTGGGTTGTCACCTTTGGGATTCTTGTGTGCATTTCAGCTGCAGCGGCTGCAGCAAGCAGAGGTGAAGCCTCGGTCGTCCGATTCGTGATCCTTGACTTTCAGTGCCTGGGGTTCCGGATCATTTAGCTACTTAAATCAACGCATGATGGATCCCTTTCTCAGGGATGAATGCAAGTAAAATAAATGTCTCCTTATGCAAAAAGTCTGGATTTCCACAAGTGAGGAAATAGACATTATTTTACCCAGAGGGATTGAATTAAAATTTCATTTACAAACTCAAATATAATGTCTCTTAAAAAGTTTAGTTTGCAGAGTAATTTTCATAAATATCTCATAAAGCGAACTGTGCCTTTTTATGCAAAGTGTGTTTTAATTGTTTGTAGCCCACAGTATATTGGTGGACTACATTTACAAGTGTTTGTCTTTTTATGGTGAAAAGGATCCTGGTAGGTTTGTGATTAAATGAATCCAATTTTCTAAGTTATTTAAATATTAGTTACAGTTCCCACTGGCATTTTTTCCAGAATAGAAATAGCTTTCTAGTTGCTTTCTAGAAATGGACGGTGTTCACCAGAGGGTATTTCAACAATACAGAAAAATACACAGAAGAATAGAAGTCCCACTCCCATCACAGCTACTACAGCCACTCACGGTGTGGGTGTGTATCCTTTCAAACTTCTTTTCTGTCCGCACGTATATATATGTTTTGTTTTGCTTTTAAAGAAAATTTAAACCATGCTATGTATATTGTTTCATTACTTTTTTAGCTATTTGATATATTTGAGCACCTTACTATGTTGCAAATATGCAAATAAATGAGGAAAGAATGTCATTTTAGTGGCTGCATAATATTCCATGGCATCTATTGTTTTTTTGGGAAAGGGAACCTGAGACGTCAGCCCCTTACTATGTAGGATTGTAACTGACCAGCAACAGTTGTTTCTGTCAGTTCCTTGTAAAACTTGGTCACGTTCTTAACTCCTCCTGTCCGGTTCCCTTTGCGCTTCACTGCACAGGAGGCATTTTCCTTTTCCTTGACGATTCAGAAAATGTCTAGCTTTCAAAAGTGTGTTCACCTCCTCTCATTTTCCCTCCACTAACTCTCTTCTGGGAGACCTACACTACTAACCTGACAGTTTGTACACCTCTAAAATGTTCGGTTAGAAAATGTGTGTCTTAAGAGTTTGAAGTTATTTAAACTGAACTGAGATTCTGATTCACTGATTCTTTATAGAACACAGGCCTTTGCATGGGTGTGGTGAGGACGGTGGGTAACTGGACCACCACTGTTGTTAATGTAGCTAAATTTTACTTTCAAAAATACATTTGTGCTTTTTTTTTTAAATCCTCACCTGAAGACATGGCCATTGATTCTAGAGAGGAGGGAAGGGAGAGAAAGAGAGAGAGAAGGAGAGAACCGTTGATGAGAGAGGGAGCCTTCTCCTACACATCCCAACCAACCAGGGACTGAATCCGCAGTGTGGGTATGCGCCCAACCAGGAATTGAACCCGCAACCCTTTGGTTTATAGGACAATGCTCCAACCAACTGAGCCACACCAGCCAGGGCTGTTTTTTGCTTTTAAAAATATTTGAGATTTAGTTCCAAGTAAAACTGCATTTTTTGTATCCAGGTGGCTGTCACAGCTGATAGCCTCAGTTCAGTCCAATCTAGGAAACATTCCCATTAACTGTTCAATCAGACCAAGAATCAAAGTTGATGAATATGTTGTGCATGCCAAATTTTTATTTTCTTGGAGCTTGAAAACAGCTTGCAGATTTTTATGGCTTGGTTTCCTCATCAGATCTCACGTGCAACGTGAAGAAACAGTTCCAAACAGAAGTGCTGTTGAAAAAGACCCAGCATAGCAAATCTGACCGTTCTGCGGCATTTGGGAGTTTTACTAGTCAACTGCCCTTTCATATGGCGCTCACCAGGACTGTTTCAGCCACCTTGGAGGAGAGGTGACATTCTCTGCTTGTCTGGCATGCGTACCGCAGACTCCTAATGACCGGCAGAAGTAGCTGTTTCTTGGATCCCTGTAGTTTGATTAAAGCTGGTATGCAAAAGTGTTTTTTTAATTTTATTTATTTAAATGTTCGCCAGCTAGAACCATACACAGAAAAGGGATAAAGGTGCTCTTTAATGGGCGTAATTCAACCATATGATTTTGAATCATATTTTCCCCTGAACCCTACTTTTTCATGTTTTTGTCCAGTTTGTGCCAGAGTCTTAACATCATTGCACATAGGCCTTTAAAAAAACAACTCATCAGCATGAAATGAGAACTCATGAATACTTCATGAAGTCCAGTTCATCACACTTTGTTAATTCAGTATTCAGCGAGTCTGAATAGCAGTGAGTCTTAACTAATGGAACTTTCTGATCATGAAAGGAGAAAAACAGCACTTTACGTTTGTGGATTCAGAGCTTAAGACTCGTAGCTCGTTTGCGTGTGGACAGTGCTGTGTACCTTTCCAGCATCATTTAAAAGACTGACAGATGACCAGACTGTAACTTGGAAACTGTTACTATGTTATTTTCCTGACCATTAAAGCAAATGTGTGTGTGTGTATGAGGTGTGTGTGGCTTAAAACTCGCTAGTAACGGTATGATTTATTCTCACTTTGGATTCAGAGAACCAGCCCCGTAAGACATTTGGATTTACAAGACTATGGTAGAAGTCACTCAGACCAAGAGAGTAGCCCAGTCCAATAAGGCCGCCACTAGCTACATGTGCCTAATTTAATTAAAATTTAAAATTCAGTCCTTCAGCCTCACTAGTCACGAGTTGAGTGCCCAGGGACCCCATGTGGCCACGGCCACTGTGTTAACTTCCTAGGGCTGCCCTAGCAAGTGGCCAGCGCCTGGGCGGCTTCCGCCACCAGGAATTCATTCTCACCATTCTGGAGGCTTCAAGTCCAAGATCAAAGTGCTGGCAGGGCCCTGTTCCTCTGCTGCATCCCGCTGTGGTGGTTGCTGGCAATCCTTGGCGTTGGCTGGCGGCTCTGTCGTTCCGTTTTCTGCCTGCATGTGCCACGGCCAAGGTCTTCCCTCGGCGTCTTCTCATCGTAGCAGGACACCCGTAGTATTGGATTTAGGGCCAACTCTAGTCCAGTGCGACCACACCCGAACTTGATACTTCTGTCGACCTTAATTCCAAATAAGGTTACAGTCCCAGACATCTGGGGTTGGGGCTCAACGTATTTTTATGGGGAGAAGGGGCACAGTTCCACCCCCACAAACTGGAACAGCTCCTTCATCACAGCGTGTTTTGGGGTCGCGCTGCGTGCGGTGAGGTGGTTGTAGAAAGTGTAAACGTGCCATTGCTTGTTTCAAGTTTCCATATGGCAAGACGCTATGGAATTGTTACAGCACAGCATTTGGGCAACTTACTTTCTGGTTGCCTGTCGTTCCGCTGCGCCAACTCGTTAGTTAATCTCCGGCGTGAGTGCAGCAAAGCACACATGTGAGTTTGTCCTTTCACGACCATGGGGCCGTGTCAGTTTCCTGAGGTCACTGTCGTGATGATCCGGAAGTGAACTACATTCAGAGATAATGCTTCTTTAAAGAACAATCCGAATGACTGATGAATTCAGAAATATTTATACGGGATTCCTGCTGTTTCCTTATTTCCATTTTTGCATTGCATCGTGAACTTTTCAGGTTTCTTTTTATTAACATTGATTTTTTTATTCTCATTGGAGAGCGGGAAACCTCGATGTGAGAGAAACACCAATCCGCTGTCTCGTGCGAGTGCCCCAACTGGGGACTGAACCTGCCGTCTAGGTACGTGTCCTGACCAGGAATCGAACCGGCACCTTTCGGTTATAAGAAGATGCTCGAGCCAGCTGAGCCACACTGGCCAGGGCAACAACTTTTCAGGTTCCTAATTCTAGTTACATGATTATTGTCATCAAGTAGAAAAAAATGTATAAATGTATCAATAAATCTTTAGCGACAAAAGGATTTAAATGCTGCTCCCAAAGGAAATCTACCCCAAAACACGCAGTGAGCTGCCTTTGCAAAAGAAAAGTGGGAAGTCCCCTGGCTGGCGTAGCTCAGCGGATTGAGCGCAGGCTGCGAACCAAAGTGTCGCAGGTTCGATTCCCAGTCAGGGCACATTCCTGAGTTGTAGGCCATAACCCCCAGCAACAGCACATTGACGTTTCTCTCTCTCTCTCTTTCTCTCTCCCTTCCCTCTCTAAGAATAAATAAATAAAATCTTTAAAAAAAAAGAAAAGAAAAGTGGGAACAGTGAATCCTCACTGCACCCTCTCCCTCCTGCTGTGTAAGAACCAGCTGGCGGTTGCCTTCTGGCATCAGTCCGTCCAAAGACAGATCAGGTTTACGGCTCTGCTTTTAAAAGAATGTTTATTCCGTAATTGTATTTTTATGGGTAATTATGATAACTGATTTTTTAACCTAATGTGGGCAACTTCTAACCCAAACTCAGGCCCTGTCCTCCACGTGGAGCTCCTGGGGAATCTCACTAGAGGCCCGTGGCCGGTGAGGGAGACCTTAGTGTGGTCGTTTCACCGGCACTGGCTGCCGACGCCCGTGAGCGGAGCCAGCAGTGCGGCTGCGAGGGGCTCTGCAACAGGGCGAGGGGGGCAGTAGCTGCAGGAATTTGCCAGGCCTGTCTCCGGTCTCCCCACTCTGCCTGAGAGCCACACTGTGCTCTAACTATCCCGTGGCCTCCCAAGGCCAGAAAA